TGCCTATAGACACACAGATTTCTGAGCAGAGTGGGATACATAGATACACACACACACACACACACACACACACACACNTGCCTATAGACACACAGATTTCTGAGCAGAGTGGGATACATAGATACACACACACACACACGTACACACACACACACGTACACACACACACACGTACACACACACATGCATACACACACACAGAGGTAGTACAATAGAGTAGAAAGATAACCGATCTGGATTGAAGTCCCAACTCCATGCTTACTAGCTATGAGATTTAACATTAGTGTCTGAATCTCTTTAAACCTCAGCTTTCTAATATTGGGCTTTTTGATGTTTTCTATAAATTGATCTAATAATAACATTTTGACTTCTTGCTCTATTGGCTTCAAGTAGAATGCTATTTGGCGTTCAAATCTTTTCATTACTCACACCTTGCCCCTACCTTTCCAGTCTTCTTACCCCTTCCATCCCACAGTGCACTTTGTGATCCAGTAACGTTGGCCTTCTTGCTGTTCCTCAAAGAAGACACTCATCTTACTGCTCTGGGCATTTTCACAGGCTTGTCCCCCAAGCCTGGAATGCTCTCACTCATCTCTGCTTCTTGGCGTCCCTGACTTCCTTCAAGTTCCAGCTAAAATCTCACCTTCTGCAAGAAGAATTGACTTTCCCAATCCTTGACTCTAGTGCCTTCCCTCTGTTAATTATTTCCTATTTATCCTGTATATAGTTTGCTTGTTTATAGTTGTTTGCATCTTGTCTCCCGCATTAGACTATGAGGTCCTTGAGAGTAGGGACTATCTTTTTTAGTTTTTGCTTTTTGTAGCCCTAGTGGTGTCTTTTGACTACGTGGCTGCCTGATTCAAGAATTGTTCACCCCTCCCTAAGGTGCAGGTCAGACTCAGAGCAGCCCTTGTTAAGTCAATTCTTTTCCTTTCCTGTATCCTTCCAGTGACCAGAAAGTTCTCCAGACACTGGAGTGGGTCATAGTGGAGAGTATTTCAGGTCCTAATAATAAGAATATTTCTCACTCATGCCTGTTGGCCAAAGGGAGTCCTCTTGACACCCACTGCTACTTCAGACTGAGACCACTTCTGGGAATGAAAGCTGACAATTTGAATACCCTATCTTCGCTCAGGGCTCTCCAGGGCTCAGCCAGGGCAAGGCCTAGGATAATGGGAATGAGAACTTAAGAGGCTGGAATCGTTTGAATCACTAGGCTTTTCCAAAGTCAAATATTCCCTCTACCCAGATGGCTTTATTTGTGATTGGACTTAAGGGACATGGTGGTATTCAATCTTAAGAAGAATGTGGACTAGACACAGATATCAATCCATTTTGCTCTCTACCCCAACCACAGGGTTTGGATTTATTTCCTAAATCAAGAGGCAAATAGACAAATACCCAAGAACCTTCAGATCTTTGGTGGGGCGGGGTGAGGGAAGTGGAATGTTTTCAAGGGACATGTCCAACCTGATGGAGTTACAGAGTCAGGTCTGCAATGGAGGTATAGGGGATAGCAGATTGGGATGAGATATGTGGTTCATTGATATGGGGAATCTTCTCTTGGGGAAACTACCTCTAGCAGTGTAGGTCAGTACTTTCACTGCAACTTACAGCATGGAGTGGTTAAGTGATTTATCCAGAGTCACATGGTCAGAATATGTCGGAGACCAGACTTAAACCCAAATATTCCTGGATCTGAGGTCGGCTCTCTATCCATTACAATACACTGCCTCATAGTGGAGGTAAGCCATGTAAATATCAGATCAAGAAGTCTGAAGAATTTGCATGCTACAGATGCCGCCATACTGAGTCTATACATGGTGATTTTGTTCCCTGAGTACAGCAACCTAAGCAGGTGAGAGAACCCAAGAATAATGTGTGAGAATCCTACCTTTTCCCTGAGTTCACTCTATCTGCTAACCCTACCGCTCTATTTTAACCTAGGTCTGGTTCATCTCCCTCCAATTCGCTCTGTCTCCCTCCCCCAACCAGGTATTATAAAAAGTCCGCCATGACATGGTTCTATGGATCTCCTGTTATTGCTCTTTCCTCTGGGGAGAACAACTGTCTTTTCCTCCCTGCCCATCTTCCCACCTCTGTCACCATTTGAAGGCTTCTTTTACA